GTGTGAAAAGTAGTATTTTTGGTTGGATGTGTATATGTGTATGTGGACGATTGAAGCCTTGTGTTTGTCACGGTTGATCGTAGCTGCTGCAGGAAGGGCAATGGGCCTACTTGTTCACAATCTTCGGCCCATGAGAATAGTATGAAGAAGGAGTCAATGGTCCATAAAACGAAGATTTGGCACCAAAAAGCGGGGACTCCTCACAAGAGTTGGTTATAAAACAGAGTAAGGAGGAGGTTGATGATTCTTGTTGTTGCGAGCGATGAACGATGCGGATGTGTCAAAGCAGGTTCAGCAGATGGTCCGGTTTATCCGGCAAGAGGCAGAAGAGAAAGCCAACGAGATCTCCATTTCCGCCGAGGAGGAATTCAACATCGAGAGGCTTCAGCTTCTCGAGACTGCCAAGCGTAAGCTCCGTCAAGATTATGACCGCAAGCTCAAGCAGGTTGATATCCGCAAGCGAATGTGAGAGCTCTTCCCTTCATCTTCTTCCTCCTCCCTCCCCTTTTGCTACAAGACTTGACTCCATTTTCTTGTCTTCAGCGATTACTCCACGCAGCTGAATGCCAGTAGGATTAAGTACCTTCAAGCACAGGACGACGTTATCACCTCCATGAAAGACACCGCGGCCAAGGACCTTCTCCGTGTCTCCAACGACAAGAACGCTTACAAGAAGCTTCTCAAGGGTCTCATCATTGAGGTATCCTCTCCTCTTCTCCCCATTTCAACAAGTCCATTCCAACACTATATATTACTGTGTGTGTTGCTACTTGCTAGAGTTTGCTGCGGCTGAAAGAGCCATCGGTGCTGCTGAGATGCAGAGAGATGGACAAGAGGGTTGTTGAATCGATCATCGAGGATGCTAAGAAACAGTACGCGGAGAAAGCCAAAGTCTCATCTCCTAAGATCACCATCGACGACAAAGTCTTCCTCCCTCCACCTCCTAATCCTAAGCTCCCTGATTCCCACGATCCTCACTGGTAATCTCTATCTCTCTCTTGTTTCTTCACCGAATATCCCTCTATATGAACAATGGTGGTTTGTGAATGGTGAAGCTCGGGAGGGGTGGTGCTGGCCTCTCAAGACGGCAAGATTGTCTGCGAGAACACGTTAGACGCACGCCTGGACGTGGCCTTCAGACAGAGGCTTCCACAGGTTTGGTCTTTTTTCGCTTAGGGATGTTCATCTTTTCTCATCATTCCCAATCTCTCCAATTAAATTGTCTTCTCATCTCTGCAGATCCGGAAGCGCCTCGTTGGAGCTCCTGAAACCTCTAGAGCGTGATCCCGCCAACCCAAGCATACTCTATCGCTTATGGCCTCAATAAGTGACGCATTTTGGCGTTGTGGCACCCTCAAGAATCCTCACTTTTCGTCTTTCTTTCTAGAGATAAGTTGGCATCTCTTGTGACATTCTTTTAGCAGGAGATCAACAGTTTTTTGTCTGTCTGATCCTTGTCATCTTTAAAATATTGTCAAGACCGAACAGCTGCTGCAATTGACACTGAAGACTCTACCGTTAAGCTATTGAGTTATGCCCTGTTTAGTTTGATTTCCTTACAATATTTTTGAGAAATCCAATACTTGCAAGATATACTCTCAAGAACCACCCCCATTTTGTTGAGCATTCATGGTATTTACGTGTTCCAAGCTACCTAATACATAGACTCTGTTCGGCTCCTACCGGTTTTACTCTCCCACCTCGATCTGGATTTGCGGTTAGCCTTCCTCCGTTTCTCTTCGGTCGGTCCTCCACCAAATATCGAAATCCTCCCAATCCCTTTGGAAAGTGAGGTCAGCAATGTTCCACCATGACCTGACTTCTCTATCATCCCCTGTTTCATCAATATCTGCTCCTTCTCTAATTCGCTCAGCCTTACTCTTACCCTTGAGATCTCCAGCTTCAACTCTCTGTTCTCCCTCCTGAGTGATGCATATGTGTCTCTCGGAGACACTGCTCCGCTTGGGATCCCGCTACTGAGTTTCTGAGACGACAGCAATAGCCCTTCCCCTGACTCTCCTGACATAACGTTCTTCAGACGTAGCTGTTCCGAGTAGAGGACTCGAACCACCATCTGCACCGGTAGGCGATCGTTCTGAGCCGCGTGATTGCATGCTTCCTGTGAAAGTTTTTGAGTGTCTATGAATTTGCAGAGACTCTTGCATTCTTGTTCTGTCAGCAACGGATGCCCCTAACCATCACCACAAAAAACATTCCCACTCTATCAGTATGAGATGTAGCCTAATGTTTTTAAAGCCGGACGGACGACCGAATCAAAAAACTTTTGGGTCATAGGTCAATGTGGTCCGACCGGATCGAACCGGTCGAACCGGATTTAATAGTTTTTTAAAAAAAATAGTAATATAAATATTTTTTTATCCAAATATATAATATAGCCTTTGAATAAACATATTTTTAAAAATTAATCATAAAAAAAATTATTTTAATAACAAAAAACTATTCAAAGACAAAGTTTAATAAAAAATAGTTAAGTTTATATGTAAAAAAACAAAAAAAAATAAAAACATTAAACCATAACAAAAATTAACTAAATTCAAAACTAGTATTTGTTTCTATAAATTTTAATC